CCCCTGCCCCCTCCCCCAATTCTCCGCCCTGGACTGTCTTCAGATGGCACATCACCTTTTTTAATGCACTTCACACTAGTTTAGGAAGAGGAAAGGGGTCTCAATCACATCAAATTATAGTTCATGACAACCCCTCTCCTCGGTTTTAATGCACAACATTAGAAAGCACATACATGAGAAAATTTTAAAAAATAAATAAAAAATAAATAAATAAATAAATAAAAATTATAAAGTGCGGGATGAATTAGATCAATTGGTCAGAAAAACGCGTCCCACGAATCAGCAGTCTCTTTTTAATGAACTTAAGAAAGCTTGGAATGCAATCCCTGGAACATACCTTAAAAAACTTGTTGAGCTAATGCATGGTATATGCCAAGCTGTTGTTAAAGCCAGAGGAGGTTAATGTAAAGAAAGCAACAACAACTCAAATACCTCATAATTATAGTCAAAATGTCTTCTGATAAGTTACTCTTTACACAATAGTCATATTTATTGTGTTGCAAACCATATATATGAAACTATGATCTTTTTTTGTACAAATCTGATCTTGCTTCCAAACTTTTGGTCTGTAGTGTAAGTCAGCACATACTCAAGGTCCTCGTGGGCACATGTGCTGCTGAGTTTTGCAACAGTTGTAAACCCCAATGTTTCTTTTTGGAAGACCAGAAAGCAGGATGTTACAATAGTCAAGGCGACTGGAGATAAAAACATGCATTAGCGTCTCTGTGTTAGCCTGGGAGAGAAAGGGGCGGACTCTGGCTATATTCTTTAAATGATAAAACCCTGTTTTTGTTATATTTTTAATATGTGGGATAAAATTCAGCTCAGAGTCAAAGGTGACGCCCAGATTCTTTACCTGATTCAATGGAATTAAAGACTGGGTTTTCAGGGTTTCTCTCCCTGTAGGAAGTTTTCTGCAATCCAGGATTTAATGTCTATACATACAGCTAAAAAGGGCATCAATTTTTGAACTTTCTATGACTCTGTGGTAGCATCTGCACTTTTCTATGCGGGTGTCTGCTGGGGGGCAGGGAGTACCCAGAGGGACAGGAAGAGACTGAATAGACTGGTCAGGAGGGCCAGTTCTGTCCTGGACTGTTCTTTGGACTCCCTGGAGGAGGTGGGTGAGAGGAGGATGTTAACAAAGCTTGTGTCCATCATGAACAATCCCTCTCACCCACTGCACCAGACTGTGGGGGCTTTAAGCAGCTCCTTCAGCAGCAGACTGAGACTTCCACCTTGCAGGACGGAGCGCTACCGCAGGTCAGTCCTCCCCTCTGCAATAAGACTTTACAAGGAACTGTAATAATAACTGGATTTACACCACCACTTTTTCCTGGCATTTAAATTGTGTATATTGTAGATAGTTTTATTTTTCTTCTCCCTTTTTCCTTTTTCTAATTTTTTTCTTAATTATTACATTTATTTAAGTTCTTAATATTAGGATCTTTATTTTTATAACTGCATTTTTGCACTCTTTGTCTGTGATGCTGCTGTGACAAAAAAAATTCCTCCATGGGGGATCAATAAAGGAATATTCTACTCTATTCTAATATTCTATTGTATTCTATTCTATTCTATTGGCCCTGTGTCATCAGGAGACATGGATATGTAGAGCTGTGTGTCATCAGCATAGCTGTGAAAAGTGATACCATGCCTCCTGATGACATCTCTTAGTGGGAGCATATATAAATTAAAAAGTATGGGGCCTAAAATTGAGCCTTGGGGCACACCACATTTAATGCTATGAATCTTTGAAGAGCATGTGTCCAAATGTACAAGAAACTTTCGATCTGTGAGATAGGAGTTAAACCATTGAAAGGCAGTACCAGAGAGGCCTACAAGGTGCCTTAGTCTATTTAAAAGAATTGTGTGATCAAAAGCAGCGCTTAGATCCAGTAGCACAAGGACTGTAAGCTTGTGTGAGTCCAAGTTGCACCTAAGATCATTAACAATTTTCAGTAGTGCAGTCTCGGTACTGTGGTTCGTCCTAAATCCAGATTGAAATTTCTCATGGATGGAATGGTTATTTAAAAAATCATTCAACTGAATAAAAACTGAATAAAAGTTTTTCTAAAATTTTGCTTAAAAATGGTAAGTTGGACACTGGTTGGACACTATTAAGAACATTAGAATCCAAATTGTTCTTCTTCAGAGGGGGTCTCACTACTGCTGTTTTAAGGGCAGCAGGGAAAGAGCCTGTCTGAAGAGAACAATTCACTAAATTTAAAAGCTCACCTTCAAAGAATCCATAAAACATTTTAAAAAGTGATGTGGGAATTGGGTCTAAAAGGCAGGTTGTTGGTTTTACTTGGGAGAAAACTCTACTAAGCATCTCAGCATCAACCAGGACAAAACTGTCCAGTGTTTCCTCAGGTAAAAACAAGCTTTCCACTGTATTACAAACATTGTTTTGAATAGATAAAATAGAGGATCATATAAAATCAATTTTACCCCTGAAGTGGTCTGCAAAACCTTCCCAAAGTGTGTCTGAAGGAGTGATTTGATATCTGTTTAAAACCAGGTTGATTAAAAGATCAATTGTAGCAAAGAGGATTTTAGGGTTATTCTTATGATCTGTGATTATGTTCATGAAATAGGTGGATCTTGTGTGTCTGAGAGCTTTATTGTAGATTTTCAGTTGCTCGCAGTATATTTGATGATTAATTGTGATTTTATTTTTCCTCCATCTCCGCTCAGCTACCCTGCAATTTCTTTTTAGTTTTTTGATTTCCTCATTTCTCCACGGCGGTGTGCGCTTAGGAAGTATCTTTTTTGTTCTCAGTGGAGCTACAAGGTCGAGTGTGGTTTCAAGTTTGTTGATAAAATGTTGAACAATAAAATCACAGGATGCAGGTAGAGTAGCTGAGGGATGCTTGCTCAAGATCTCGATAAAATTTGCAGCCACTTCTGATGTAAAATAGCGTTTCCTGGACTAGATCCAAAGTGTGTCCTCTGTTGTGAGTCGGCTATGTGACATTTTGTCTAAAATCCAAGCAACTAAGTAGATTTAAAAACTCTTTTGCCATTGAATCAGATGGATTGTCTATGTGTAAATTAAAATCACCAGATGTAATAATAAAATTGTAATCATGATACATGATCAATACTGCAGGTGAGCTGTAATGGCAGAGTGAGTTCATCAGCACTTCAGAGGTAACTGCACATCAAATACAATAAATTTTAAATTATAGTTCAATATAATTTGTGAATGAAGATGTTTTTTGTATTTATTATGTTTTACTTTTTCTAATATGCCATCTCAAAAACTTGTTTGAAAAACTCAAAAAAATTGTGCAGAATTCTGCAGTGTTTTTAGGCCTTATTAAATGTTTCAAATATTTTTAAAAAATGACTTGAAAATCTTGTAACAGTGAAGTAGCAAAACACTATCAAATCTCGCGTTAAAGATCAGATTAAAAAAATGTTAATTAAAGATTGAGAAGAAACACAATCATCTCTGTTCTTCCTCTTTCATTGATCTGTATATATGTGTGTGTGTGTGTGTGTGTGTGTGTGTGTCACTGTAGATGTGTTTTTCTCCGCTCTAATTTATCATCATCTTCGATCTTTCATCTTGTCTCAACTTCCTCCTGTTCACTGTCACCAGTTTGAAGGAACAGTTTACCTAAATTCCTCATATATGATGGACCTATGGACTGATTATCTTTTTATTACCGTTAATTTAGTGACTAAAGCTTCTATCTATCTATCTATCTATCTATCTATCTATCTATCTATCTATCTATCTATCTATCTATCTATCTATCTATCCATCTATCCTGTGACCTTTGACCTCTGTCCTGCAGCCTCCAGGAGAGGACTGATCAGAGGACACAGTAAGAGAGAAAAGCCAAGAGAAAAGACTTCTGTTTTAAAACACCTGATCTTTTCCATCACATCCGTATTATTTTCACAAGTCTGTGTACTGATGAAAACATGATTAAATAATAGTCACTTTTAATTATGTAATTTTAATTGTTACTGAATATGTTCATGTGTATTATTAACCCCTCAGTAGGTTTTGTTTTTCGAGAGCTTTACACTGTGTGAATAAAATATCATGATTGTTATTATGAATGTAAGTTTTAATCCATGCAGCTGTAATGATATAAAAATGTGTTTAATTCTTTCACAGTCATTTGATATTCATATCCTCAAAACTATTTATTTTCTTAATTGATATATACTTGTTTATATTATTTATAGATGGTCCTTGTGGCATATCAAAAACTGTGTTTTAATGTGTACATTTTCCTCCCCTGCTATATTCTGTCACTATTGATTTTTCTGTTCTTTAGTACACGTTTTGACCTCTTGGTGTCACTGTTGATTCATTTTCATGTTCTGCGTTTCGGGTCTGTCCTGAAATGTTCCTGATCCGAGAACAATCATTTCTAAAGGTTAATTGCTGAATTAAATCAAATAATCACACATTTGATTTTATTTTAAATAAACGCATGGACACTTTAAGTAGTTTTTTATGTTAAAACTTTAATTTTTTACCGGTTATATCTTTTTAGTTCACTTATTTCTCGTCTCCTCTAACAGGTAAAAATCTGCACATCCAGATTATAGCCAAAAACCCTTTTTTTCCCTTTAATTTCTGACTATTTTTTTTGTTTTTGTTTTTTGAAAGATATTTATTGAATTTTCATTAAGGCTGAATCTCTATATGTAGGAACCTCAGGCTTTTAGATCTACGTGTAACTATATGTGAAGCTTTTTATCTGCATGTTTACGACCACTTCAGTGTCTTTACACGGAAAAATATAATTAAACATCATGCTTCAAGTGATTCCATAATTATTGGAAAGAATCAGCTGTTTGTGTCAGCTTTATCACACCTGTGATCACACAGAGTCTTTGTTGAAGGACCATGTCGTTATTTCCGTGTTTTCTGCTTTGACACAGAGAGATTAAAAAGTGATTGAGTATTTTATTTTGGAAAACTGATGAGTATTTTCTATCTATTTAAACATGAAACAGTGCAAAATGACCAGATTTCAGATATTTTTATTGTTTTTTTTTTTGTGTGTGTGTGTGTGTGTGTGTGTGTGTGTGTGTGTGTGTGTGTGTGTGTGTGTGTGTGTGTGTGATCCAATCGGCATCACTGGAATAAAATATGGTGTATAATACATACAATGATTACATAAAATAGGCTACATGATTATAAAATAATGACGATAGTGACCAATGATGTGGTCACGTGCTTGTTTTTAAAATAGAAAATCTGCATATTAAGAAAAGTCCAGCGTGTTTATGTCTTCAGTTTATTTCGATTGTGTGGTTATTGAATAGTAGTTTAAAATATCAAAATTGGCACAATGTACTTTTCTAATAAAAAAAAAAGAATTTGTGTTTAAAAGTCTGATATTTGGCCTTTAAATAAAAAAAAACAATAAAAAAATCTACCTCTAAAACTGTGAAATGAGGAAAGACACAGAAAAACATGTTTTTGTGTTGCATTAAAAGAAGCATGCAGGAGGCCAGGGTTGAAAATAAAGCTATTTTATTGTCAATGCATTCAACATGATTAGATAAACTATCGAGTAGTAAATTTCCGCAAAAGGAAGAAACACTGAAACTATTCCCCACTGACACAAAATATGACACTTTGTATTTCAAATCAACGAAGTATTTACACCGTATTGTATAGACTGCATCTAAAATCAATATCATTTCATATTACATGCATTCTGAAATATAGTCTGACATAAAATTCCGGTTTGTGTCCGTGCTCACTGTCCACATGAAAAACCTGCTGCGCTGTAAACCGCGATGTCTGACTACATTTGAACTCTATATCTGCATTTATAGGATATAAAATACAACTCACTGTACATTTACACATCTTTAAATCTTCCCTTTTTTTCAAACGCTTCAAGTGATTCCTGATAAATAGATTCATTTAAAGTCACACGCGTTGCATACACCCAGAAACATGACGCTGTCTGTACAGGGACAAAGAAACTAGCCAAAGGGGTAAGAAGGGTCCAAAGTGAAAACAAGTGCAAACAAGTTTAGGTGTCTGTTGAAGTGAAGTCTTTTTATCTCCGCTCATGCCCATTAAATCCAGGCGCCTCACACCCTCAGCTGTAAAAAATATTCCCCCCCTCCTGAGGCCTCAGTCAGTTGTGGGAGGTCATGTGACGTGACAGGTGATGCCGCTCACGGAAGGACTCATTACAAATGGGGCACTTGAGTTTCTCCTCACGCCGCCTCTTGACCAGCGGCTCCATGGCGTACTCCTTTTTGTGGTGGGAACGCATGTGATAAACCAAGTCCGAGGTCATGCGGAAGGAAGCGTTACACTTGGCGCACCAGTTCTGCGCTGGCAAGCAGAGTGAGGTGAAGGAGGGCGGCAGGAGGGTGAGCGCCGATGGCATCTGGAGCTGGATGGGCCCCGAGTTCTTGGGCCAGAAGGCAGTGGCATAGACAAACGGGTTCTGTTTGGCCATACCGCCCGGCACGGGGCAGTTGGCGCCCAGTTCTGCGCCCTGCAGCTTGGCGGCGAGGTGATCAGCCTGGTATAGTCTGCTGGAGGAGATGGTGTCACCCACTGCTGGGTGGCAGTCCAGCAGCTTGGGCGGCATCACCAGTGGTGAGATCTGAGAGAAGGAGGAGCGAGAGGGCTGGCTGAAGGCGCTCTTCCTCTCTCCACCGCCCCCCTGTTGGCTGACAGAGGTGAAGGCGCTGCCCATCGGCGAGGTCTGGGGGGGCTGAGTCTCTGACAGTACCTGCCTAATGTTCAGGTGCTTCTCTGGTGGGTTGCTGCTGGGACGGCCGCCATCTTTGTTCTCAGAATTGGCATTGTGGAGGTTTTTGCTGCCACCGTTGTGTTTGAGGTTCTGAGGTGACTTCTTGACTTCGGTGAAGGCGCTGCGTTTGCCCTCGCCGATCTGCGTAGAGCAGGGCGGGGAGAAGGAGCGGTGGTTCTCCTCTAGGCCATATGCTCCTCTATAGTTCTGCGCTGATGTGGCAAGCTCATCTTTGGACTTGGACTGGGGGAGGACTCTGCACTCCTGATCCTCCAGCTCTGAGAACTTCCTCTTCCCCGAGCTCTCGCTGCAGATCTCTGCCTCCTTATCACTAGGCGGGCTGGTCCGGTTGTTCTCTAGGTCACGGGCCAGGTTGTGAAAGTCTGTTGAGGGTTTGTTGGTGTCCTGGGGGCTGCTAAAGCCCTCGGAGCGGCCCAGCTTGGGGCTGCTCCTGGTCGAGGTGGTGTTGGGTCGGTCAGGGCTACCCTCTTTGTTCGGCTCCTCATCGGCTCCGTTGATGCTCTGCAGTCTTTTGGTGCAGCGGAAACGGAGGTGGGCCAAGAATGGGAACTCGAACTGGAACCGCTGGCTGCAGTCAGGACAGGAGTGATGGGATGCACCTGAGGAGAGGAAGGAGGGAAATGAGTTCAAACTGTGCAGCTGTAGAACGCCATTCTCAACATTATCTTTAGCATACTGATGCATAACTAGCTGCAGAGGCCAGATCAACCTGATACCAAAGACCAGGGTGTAAAGGGATTCTGTGATAATACAGCTGGATGTAAAAAGGTCTAAATCCTGGTCAGGGTCTGTTTGTCATCAGCTCACCTTTGTTCTTGGCAGGTGCTCGGCTGGCGCTGAGCAGCAGCAGGTCCACCAGGTCTTTCCCGTACCACACCAGCAGCTCCTCGTCCTTCTCGATGCGGCGCAGTGAGCGGTAAAAGAGCTGTCCATTCTTCACGTAGGCCTCCAGGTTCTGTTCCTCTTTGTCCCGGGCCGACTGGACCAACCGCAGCCACATCAGACCTTCAGAGGTGCTGTTAGCTGCCGAGGTGTCCACCTGGGCAACAAAGAGACACAAACATGAGGTGTCAACATTTACAGACACACTAAATGTAGAGAAAACTTCCTATTTTAAAAGTTTTTTTAAAGAAATTCACTTTTCAGAAAGAAAAGGAAATGATTTAAAAAAAAATTACATTACTGTCTCAGAAAACTGCATCAAGAAGCTGAAAGCTCAAATATCCTCCTGCTGCACTAACATCACTCATTTCATGTTTCTCAACACATTTACACACACAAAAAACTGAATAAGCTCAAATGCATCAACAGCAGAAACAATCAAATGTTTATTTACTGAATCAAACATTCACACATGGACCAGGGAGACTTTTATTTTAAATTTTTTCTTTGCAGATCTCTGCAGCCCTTTATTGCATGCTTAAATATGGAGCTGCTGAAATAGCCCATTGTTGCTTACATGGGAAAATATATCAATACGAGATTCTTTCTGCAGAGGAAGGGAAACAGGAAATCTGACTGTGAAAATTGTGTTTCAAATCCATCGAAAGCGGCCCTGAAAACGCAGCTGTTGTTTGCAGTGAGACATTTATATACATAAAAACCTCAAAGGTTTGTGTTGAAATAAAAAAGGTGCAGACACGCAGAGATGTAAAAACTGACCCTGAAGATGTAGGGAGCGGTCCGCTTATCCGTGGACTTGAGGGCGATGAAGGCGATACTGTCATATAGGGACGTGTGGCTGAGCACGCACGGGCCGAAGATGGCGTTCTCCGGGATGTCACAGGTGGTGTAGACGCTGGTGAAGATGTCGGTGAGACACTGCTGCACCGCTTTGGCGTCCCCATCCCACGCCAACTTCTGAGAGCTGGACTCCTCCATGTCAGTCTGCGGGGACACACGGCAGAGGACCGGAAGCGTTCGGGGTTAGGTAGTTTCGAGAGAAAAAAATAGACTTTTTTTCGAAATCTCAAATTTAACTTTTAAAAATTATTTTATTTCTTCAAATAAATACAAAATAAATCTACACCAGGGGCACTTTTTTTGCATCACATTCAAAGATTTTTTTTTCATTTAAAGAAAATATATGAAACTCTTGAACGACCTCTTTCTCCGCTACACATTCAACTTTTTTTTATCTTCTTATTCTTTCAATCGTGTTAAAAAAAAAAAATCAAAAATAGAAAACACTGAACAGCATCCTGCATCTTTAATTTATCATGTCATTAAAATTAAGTTATCTTAAAAACGAACAAAACTACTACAACAACAAATGACAACATCCTGTCGCAAATTCGTCATTTTTAAAACTCTTAATAAAAAAATAAAATTAAAAGAAAATTATAATACGAAATGGACAGAACCCTGTTCCACACACTTGACACTTTTATTACGGAGCTTTTTCGTGCTTATTTCCTTTTTATGGTCCGGACTAACTGCTGTCTGTTAACGGGCTGTTTGTTCCTGGCTGAGAGGAAATAAATCTCTTCCTCGACAGATTGGATTCAGCAGCTGTCAGGGTGGCGTTTGGGGCCCTCTCTATTTTTGTTTTTTGGCCAGCTTTCTAATTAATTCAAACCCGTTAATAAGTTCATGAAAGTATCACCTTCAGCATCCCGACCATGTATTATACCGTTTATAACGGCGAAACATCAAATATGGTTTTAAAGAATAAAAAGGTCCCACAGTGTTCATTTAAAACTGTGCTTTTATTATTATTATTATTATTATTATTATTATTATTATTATTATTATTATTATCATTACCATAGCGCTGTTAGTAGTTTTACTGGTATTACTTGGGATTAAATTAAATTGGTTAAAAAACATGAAAACCGCAAAACTGTACCTGTACTCATTTCAAACAGACTGTTTTCTGACCTTGTAATAATTAGCATATTATCATATTAGCATTGGTATAAATCTTATTATTAATATTAGCTTTTGTAAGCCTTAGCGGGCTAATTACTCTTGTCCGTTCAGCTTTCACTGATTTAATTAAATGGATTTAAAACCTTCAAATTATCTTTAATCAAGAGTCGTCAAATACTCGTCCAGCGGTGTGCACAGATCGACAATAACCCGCTTGTTCTTCGTATTTAATCAAACTCATACAGTGTAAATGTAACAGTCCTCCAGATGTAAAGGTGCGGGGTTAACTGTCTCCCGTTTATCCGCCTTAAACAGCAAAACAGTCTAACAGTACAAGTCTAAAAATAAAGGCCTCAGATCAGTCTGTGTGTCTCGGTGCGTGTCCGCTGCCCACAGCGTGTCCAACGTGTTTAGAGTCGACTGTCAGAGTCAGTGATTTCATGTCAGCCAACCTTTCCTCTCCTTCTACAAGCGGCAGCGTATGTCTGCTCATTACCATAATCCAGCACGGTCCCCTCTGAGACAGTCATTAAAGCAGCACGAGCTCTTAATTATTTCCTTTCTCCCTTTCCTAACCTCCCCGTGTGTGTGTTTAGACGCCCGCTCACTCCCTCTCTTCCTCTGCCCCTCACCTCGGTTTGCCGTTAAATACGGCTAAAACTGTGCACAAAAACCTGCACCTGACGCACACTTGTTTAGCGGTAAATTACGCACACTGGATACTCAAAGAAAAACAGAAAAATCAGAATTAAAAAAATGAAAAGACTTCGAATAATGTCTGTATTTAGCTTTAAAAACCCCAGCAGCAAACGGGAAACAGTCTTTCATCGAAAGAAATTCCTAAATGTTGGATTTGTTCTTATTTCACTCCGCGCCGTTTGGTGAATTATCGTTGCACGGAATTTCTGTTGCTTTAGACGCAGATTCAATCATATTTATGACTGTTTAGTGTTTGAGGCTTTTTGCATTAGTTTGTGATATTTTGAACACAGCGTTTCATTTAGAAAACATTTCATAATAATGTGATCAATCGCTCTAGCTCACTGTAATAACTGGAAGCGTGAGCACATAAATAATAACCCATTAGTAAAAAATAAAATCAACAAATCTCAAACTTGACCTGGGGATCGTCGTATTTGGATCTAAACTCAATACTCATTTTTTTTTGTGTGTTTTTTTGTGTTTTTTTCTGCACGCAGCCTCTCCAGGCTGATGACAACAACTGCAGCAATAACACTGATGACTCGTGGGAAAAGATGAGCTATGATCTGTCCATCCACAAACCCGGCTGTTCAAACACAGTTTCTGGTTAAAATAAAAGAGGTAAATGTGCTGAAATAACCTAGGATATTCTCTGGGCCTCTTTTTGAATAGCGGTATTACATGAGAAGCGTTTATGGAGGTTTGTTTCTTTACGCACGGTGCAGTCAGAGCGGTTCTTGAGAGGTTTTAACACCGCCTGCGAGTTCCGGTACTAAACGGGATCTTTTCTGTTCAGAGGAGCAGTGAGAGTCAATTAGTGAGGTAGAACAGACCGAGAATATTCTAGAAACGGCCATTGTCACGGCAAGGCTCGGACAGAGGAGAGATAAAGCGCTGATTGTTCGCACATCCATAAAGTAAGGAGAGCTGCAGATCAGAGCCGCTGCGGGTGGGGTGAGTAGGGGGGAGTTGAACCCATCTGCTAAAGCCGTGCCAGCCTGAAAAATGTCCTCAATCAGCGCGGGGCCGAGCTCCGGGTTTGTCCGCGGTGCTCGAACATCTGCGTGCGGATTTCTCTTTATTTCAGCGCGTGCAGGACGTGCCTCTGCGTGGAACCTACCCCGCTGCGTGATAGCAACCCTACCTAAAACTGTCCACACACACACACACACACACACACACACTCAGATCTGCTCCTCACACACATACCTCTGAGCCGATGAGCGGGAACAATAATCCACAACTGAATCCGAGCGATGCTGCGAATAAAGCCCGAGTGCTCCCCCGGTATAAAAAAAAAAAAAAGAAAGAAAAAAAAAGAAAAAAGCCCAGCACGGCACGCGGGCACGGTGCGGGAAATGCTGGAGAGGATGGAAAAGGTGCTGCGCTCCCAGTCCGGTCCGTGCCGTCAGTACATCCCCTCCAAGTACTGTGACGGTGCAGCAGCGGCACAGGCTCGCGGACAGTGTCGGTTACTGTGCTGAGAGGATCACAGACACAGACTGAGACAGAGAGAGAGGCGCGCGCAGATGGGTCCCGGTGCTCTGGCTGACTGACACACCGACACACACTTTTTGTTTGCTGCACATAATCTACCCAATGAGGCGTGTCACTCCGCGTCTCCTCCCTTTAACTCTTCACTGACCGACTGTCATCTGAGGCGATTTATGGATGGGATCAGGGATAAAGACCCCCCCCCCCCCCTTTATTATTATAAATCTAATCACAATAGTTGGTGGCGGTGTCAGAGTAAAGTGGCGTTTGAAGAGTCAAATGCCGGCTAAAGCTGGTCCGTAAATTCATCCTTCTCTGGAAGAAAGTCGTCTTATTTGAACTATTATGAAACAGTTTGTATATTGCTCAGACTGCTCCATATGAACCCTTCTTTAAATCTGCTCAGACTTCTGACACTAGGGTTTTTATTCTAATGCTGATGAAGCGACCTCCTGTGAGTCTGCTCACATCCTAAACACCCTGCAGACTGTCCTCATGCAGCACCGTCGTGCAGGCCTGCTCCACAGCCGGCCTGAACAGCTTCAATCCCGGGCTTGCTCATTCAGGAGCTCTGCTGTTGTGTGCAGTGAATTTAGGCTCACATAGGGGGCGCTAGTGTATAATCTGCATGCAATGAGCGGATGATGGCGTGGTGGAGAGGAGAGCTGCAGGTGCGCAGATAATGATGGTGGAAGCTTCCTTTTTTTTTTTTAAAATTGACCAATTTTGTTTTTGCAGGAAAGAATTTTTCTGCAAACTGACAGGATATTAAAATATTTGATTCTTGCTTTGTCTATGCTTTTTAAAATCATATCACATTGATATATGATTTCAGGATTTGACAGATGTCATTAGGTATTTGCAAAAAAATGTGCTCCTGTGCACATGGCAAACTGAAAGATATAGCTCAAAATGATGAGAAGATTGTTTTTTGTTGCTGTTACAGGGTTAATTCCCCCACTGAGGGATCAGTCAACAGAAAACCAGAAAGCACACACAATTAACAAAGCTACACAACAAAAACGACAGTTTTACACAGAGCACCAAAGTCTTCATGAATGAAGTTGTTTGTGTTTTAAAAAGAGAATATTTTCACACTGCATTTATACAAATGCTTTATTTGTTTAATTGTGATTTCTGAGGAACAACTGTCAGACCTTTGGATATGATTTGATACATTTGCAAAAGAATAGCTTCAAACTTCTCCATCATCAGAATCAAGCTTGTTAATGTCTGTGTGGTATTTGCATTATTGTGTTTTTGCTGAGCAGATTAATTCCTGAAGAGTCTCAAATTCTCTTTGGAGAAAACCACATTAATTATTTCTGAGTTGATTTGTCACTCGGTGGCTTTTGAAAATTGCTGCATCCTAACATGTGAGTGAACAAACTTTGATGGAAGACTGGTCATTTCTGCAACTCTGAGACACAAAACAGGATTTTTTTTTACTAGCTAAATGAATGGGATGAAATGTTACAGTTAAAATGACTGAATGAGTTCAAGTTTGGATTTTTAGCTGCTGGTTCAGGAACAGCTGACATGAAGAGAAATAGTTCAAGAAAAGATCAGTTTGAAGTCTAAAAACAGAGTTGAGAATGGAGTGTTGGATAATTATCAAATAAAGGACTTCATCTCAGCTGCTGAATGAAGCTCCCTGGCAGCAGAGTGACCGTGTCTTCATGGAACTGTATTTCAGCTGAAGTCTTTACAATGCTCACAGCAGCTCTGTTCATTTAACTCTCTGCTTTCTTTTCTTGCCGTCAAACTCCAGCGATCCTCGATGTCGTGTGATAACAAAGAAAAGAAATGATTTTTTACAGCTGTAGTGAGATTGCGGCTTGTTAAAGGTAAATTAAAAATTAGATGAAGCCCCAAAACATTTTAATATATTCACACAAATGCTTAACACAATGCAGGAATAATAAAACACAGAAGTCACAGCTCTGAGAGACACAGCTTTCTGGCCTCGCAGAAACAATCTGCACGAGAATCTCTAAAATTTGGTGAAATATCACTTCTGTTAAAAAAGGGGAAAAAAGTGTTTATGTCCTTGCATCTGTGCGAAACGGAGGAAACCATGAGCTGGTAATGCATTCAGAATCAAAGTAACACTCGCTCTGAGACCTTACAAAGCAGCTCTGTTTCTGTTTCACACACTTAGACATGAATTCAGAAAGTACATTTAAAGTCCAATTCTGCAGACGGAAATGTTGAATTTATATCATTGTGAAATCATAACAGAAAGCCGTACAGAGGAAGAGATTTTACATGAAAAAAAAATAGGATACTGAGCTGAAATTACAGGGTACATGTGTGTGTGTGTGTGTGTGTGTGTGTGTGTGTGTGTGTGTGTGTGTGTGTGTGTGTGTGTTAATGCGTCTGTGTTAATGTGTGTATTCAGAGCTTCACAGTAGAGGCAGAGCAGTGTGTCTCTGAATCATCTAACAGCTGTATTGTTTCCTGAACACACTCTCTCTTCTGTTCAAACTCGTATTTCAAATACAGATTTAAAGAAGTCAGTCAGTGCTCTTGTTTTTATTTACTGAAGAGATTCTTTCATTTCAAAGAAGCAGGATTTTTAAGAAGTGATTTTACATCTTAAAAGACAAACTGAAGCTTTTACAGTCAGAGAGCTCAGGGATAATGATTCAGATATCAAAGAGTCTAAAAAGGAGGAACTCAGAGACTTAAAAGGAGCACACTGAAACCTGCAGATCAGGTCTGAATCTGAAAACTGTTCAAATCTAAAGGCTGATCAATGTTAGAGGGTCGCTCCTAGACCAGGTCTGCTTTATAACCTCACCCCTCTCTCAGCTTTAACTTTAGCAGCATGCTGATGGACGTGTGCTGCAAATACAAGAATTTATCTGTGCATGTGTAAGAATCACTTGACTTAGAGTGTTTCAGGGAGCTAACCCTGAAGGAAAACCTCGTAGGCTACATGTTTACAGCCATTCTTATACTACAAAACCCAATTCCTTTGAAGTTGAGAAATTGTGATACACGTAAATAAAAACAGAGTACAATTATTTGCAAATCCTTTTCAACCTATATTCAATTGAATACACTACAAAGACAAGGGCCTCTTTTTTCGTGTCTGCTGGTGACGCGGTGGACAGTGGCGAACCTTGCGCAGTGGTATTTTCGTCTGGCAGAGCCCGGCATACAGCCAGTTTGGTATTTTCATGGATTGAGGCGCACCAAGATCCGCCAAGCTGGGCGTGATGGCGCAGCAGGAGGAGGTGTCGACAGAATCAGCTGGTGCAGTGACATTTTCGTGCTCGCCAGTGGCGTATAAAGTGCGCTGAAAGCTCGCCGATCCAAACCTGGTCAGCTTTCAGCGCAGGTGGAGCGCAGCTGGTCTAGTGGTATTTTGGTAGACTGGCGGCATATCGGCATACGTCACCAATGCCTCACCGGCAGGTTCCCACAGCGTCAGGCACATTTCAGTGCAATAAATAATCATCAACAACTAATAATCTGAGTCAGCACATACATTTAGATCTATATCGATATATTCTGATCTATATCTGATCTGATGAGCGCGTTTGGCACGCATTTGGACACACAACCTGACCGAATCTACACAGCTGAAACCGCATTAAATTAAATTAAATATCTAGTAAATAGATACACATGATGAAGTTAACTAGATATGTAATTCGTCTCCCTCCTTTTCTTTCTTGCTCTTCCTCTTATTTCTCACGCAGCTTGACCTGGACATGTCTCCGTGTCCTCTCCCCGTCCTGCCGCAGCTGCTGCTGTGGCGGCTGAACAGATGATTTATTTTAGTGATCTGGGGCCTCATGTATCAACACTTGCGTGGAACTCATACCAGAAACGAGCGCACGCAAGGTCCGTCACGCTGAAAAAAATCTGTATGTATCAATGTGTGCGGGCGCCGAAATCCATGTGTGTTTCCTTGATAAATCCCAATCAGCGTGGAATTGAGCGCAGATGTCGGAGTGACTGGGCCCGTCCCCGTTACGCCCTCCTATAAATATGCAGATTTATTTAAATAGGGTCTCCCTGTCCTCGCACGCAGACAAAATGACAAGAAAAACTAAATTTACGGCGTGCGAGGTGGAGGTGCTGGTGGCGGAGGTGGAGGAGCGACAGCGTGTTTTGTTTGGCAGCCTGTCCAGTGGCGTCAGTGCAAAACGAAAACGCTTGGACTGTGAGAAAGTTTGCGAGAGGGTGAATGCGGTGGGTTCCGAGACACGCACCCCCGCGAAGATTAAAAAAAAGTGGTCGGACCTCAAGGTGGAGGTCAAGCGGCGTACAGCTGCCCTCCGGAGGAGTACCGGCCAGACAGGTGGGGGTCCGGGGGAGGAGACCCTCACGCCGTTTGAGCAGCGGGTGGTGGCGATTATTATTATAGGGTAAGTGGCGTGTCACACAAATGTCCACATGCTTTGCCATCCCACTGAGCAAAAGACGTATATTAGACGTCTAGTCTAAGTTTATACTTCATTTCAACGTCGGGATTCAGTCTATTTTTAGACGGGATTTATACTTCGCCCTCAACTTCATTTTTGATAACTTTTTATGCAATAAACAACTGTAATGTGCATAACTGACCTCTAAATACTGGATTACATTACCTATGATACCGTGGAGAGAGATGTAAACGCAACAGATACACAGAAGCAGGAATTGAAATGAACAAATATTTTTATTGTGTCACAGAAATCAATGTGTCGGCCTAGTCGCCGGCTTGCGGAACCCCGGCCCGCGGCAGCCCGTCCGCCGGCTCAGAGTCATCGGCCAGGACCAGCGGCATTCGAGCCACCCCGGCCCCCGGCCCCCGGCCCCAGCACCAGCACCAGCATCAGCGCGCCGAAAAGCGGTGGAGCGTCCACCAGCCGCAGCGCTTCCGCTGGACCACCCGGACGCGGGTGGTCCTCGCGGAGGGGGTCCTGCAATCGCAGGAAGAAATCATCAGGGGGATCGCGGGGATCAACGAGCGGCTGGACCGGCTTGTAAATGTCCTCGAGCGTCTGGTGGAGAAAATAAATTAATTTGGCTCATTGAACTGTGTATTCACTTCTTACCCATTCACACTGTGGCGATGAGATTCTCCCGCGCGAGGACGGCGGCCCGGCAGGGATCAGCTCGCATCCCTCCGTCTGCTGCTGGTTCGTC